CAGTCCTCATAATTGGTCTTATTCAGAGTTTTGACAGAGTTAGGAAAAGAGACAGTCATGAAGGAATAAGGAATCATTAAATGAATAATTATGTAATATAGAATAATGATTCCACATATACCAGCCAAAAATGTTCCTAATAAAACTCTAGCTCATAATGATCTTACATCACAAATACAATAATAAAAATAAACTTATATTACAAAAATTTCAATATCGATGGAATATTTAAACATGATAAAATAAACATAAGATGTAAACAAAATTCTAATCATAACAAAACCATACTAATAATAATATATTTAAAAGGTATAGTCCTTATTAATATAATATAGATTATAATTACTAATAAATAAAATTTTATTTATTCTAAATTTATATAGATAGTAATATATCAATAGGATACAATTATCATTAATATAGATAATTATTATTTTCAACAAATTGATTATGCAATTAACACGCAGAGATCATACAATTAAACTCACGATATGTGAAATTATAATCATACGACTAATCAATATTTAAAAAATATGATAATTATTTTATTTTATTAATCAAACATAATAATTATAAATTGAATAACACCCTTGCTGGAAGTAATAAAATATAGCATCCAAAAATATGCTAATTGCATCCACATGATATTCTAATGTTAAATATATTATTATTTGAATTTGTGGACCACGTTATATGCAAAATTGAAAATTGATATGCTGAATAGTAAATATCTCAAATCTATTTTTTTTTTTTCATATATCTTTTTCTTTTCATTCTCTTGGTTAAACATTCATTTTTAATTAATGACTGATACTCCAAACCCCCTCCTTCACTTCAATTCACTCTTACATTTTCTCAATGTCGTGGCCGACAAATTTTGGTTTAACTTAATGAAATATGATTCAACTAAGTCACAACTTTTGATTTAACTTTGATGTAATCTTTTGATAGAACAGTGGTATAATATTAATATTATGAAGTTATATTTAAATTACTACATGGTTGTCAAATTGAGATAAGTTATTGATAGAACATATAATGATTAATTAGTATCATACATGTTTTATAACACAACATTTTGAGGTTTTGTTACACAATATGATAACAAAAATTCTAATGTTCAATAACTTAGTATCATCCTCAGAATTGTATGTAACTAACAAATAACACAATATGATGCACAACGTTGCACACGTGTCACATGCACTTATATAAAAGTATTACAGGTGCTTTCACAACATTATTTGGCCAAAATATTATAACATTAACAACATAAGCATTACAACATACCTTAAACAAAGAATTACAAAATACTTTAAACAAACTCAAAAACAATTTTTAACTCATTATTCAATTTTTTAAATTTTTTTTCTGTGTTTTAATTTTTAAATTTCTTTTATCAATAATGTCATTATTGAACTATTTGAACAAATTATATCATTTGTCATTGTTGTTTTTATATTTCTTACAACCCTTAATTTTTTTACTAAAATTCAAGTTTGTTATATTAATATCGAATCAAACAACACAATCCTCTTACCAATTACATTTCTCTCCTCTCGTGTCTTCTTTATACATATTGATAGGCCACAGAGTTCTAAGTCCAATAAATTTATTAGAGAAAGGAAAAAGTCCTTTTGGTTTAAAGATTTTTATCATTATTAAGTGAGAGTGTCTTTAGCATTTTATCCTTAATGGGTTTAAAATAATTTTTATGTTGACCCATGACCATAGTTTAGAAACCCTAGTATTTATATTGTAATGTTGCCTCTTTATGAGGAGGATAGATGATATGAAAAAGTTGTTTTAAGTTTATCTTTCTTTTGATTATTCATATTTGATATTATTCTAGTGTATATCTATCATTGGTGCTTTCATTATTGCATCTCAATCCTTCCATGCCCCCCCAAACCACCCAATCCTTCCTCTAAGGAACTTATAGAGGAAGCTGTAAAAATCTCCACCATCCTCCATCTAAACAATGCTATGAGTGAAACTCAAGCACAAATGGATGAGAGATTTGACAAGCATGCTGCAGATTTGACCCAGTTGGCCCAGCAAGTGGAACAGATTCATACAAGACTAGACAATGATAAGACTGTTGAAGATTCCAAATATGAATCTCTCATGAATGTTCTTAACAAGCTTGCTAAGCAAAAAGAACATGTTCCTGCTACAGTTCTATCAGGAGCAAGCTCCTCAGGTATATCCCAAAATTTTCCCTCCTATTTCCATGGTTTCCACTCCATTGACCCTGAATTTTACACCTACCCAGTCCCCATTACGTCACTCTACTATGTTCTCTAACTCTCCATTACAACCTACTATTACTGTTCACCCGCGTGCTACTGTAGCACCGACCCCACCATCATACCTTTCACCCATTATCCCAATTGTTTCATCACAACCCTATGTTATCCCATATCTGCCCCAAATTCCCTATACCCAAATCCCTAACATTCCACCATTACCCCCTTTTCGAACACCTAAACTTGAACTTGCTATGTTTAATGGTTCGAATCCATTGGAATGGTTATTTCAAGCGGATCAATTTTTCAGTTTTTACAATTTACCACCAGAAAATCGTTTATCATTGATTTCTTTTTATATGAAAGGAGATGCTTTATCTTGGTTTAAATGGATGCACCAGAATCACGTTTTAACAGATTGGTTTTCCTTTATAAGGGCTTTGGAATTACGCTTTGGTCCCTCTACTTATGATAACCACCAGACTGAGTTATTTAAATTGAAACAAGAAGGATCTGTTGTTGATTACCAAACACGGTTTGAAAAATTAGGGAACCAGGTTGTGGGATTGCCACAAGATGCTATTCTGAATTGTTTTATTTCCGGATTAAAAGCTGAAATCTGTAATGAAATGACAATCCATCATCCATCATCTATTTCACAAGTTATTGGTCTAGCCAAACTCATTGAATCTAAGCTACATGATTCCAAACAAAAATATCTAAAACCATACTCAAATACCTTTAACCGCATACCATCATACATCAAAACGCCTACTGACCCAAAACCATCTACCACCCCAACCTACAAAACTTCCTATTCGGCGCCTGTCTAATACCCAAATGCAAGAAAGCCGAGCCCAAGGACTTTGTTTTAATTGTGATGAAAAATTCATCTTTGGTCACAAATGCCTTTCAAACAGATTTCTATTACTTCTTACTGAAGATGATTTATCAGAACCCAACCAAGAGGAGGAAGATTCTCAAGAGGATGTATTTTAATTTAATATATATTTGGTTTATAAGAGGGGGGAGAGGAGAGGAGAGAGGAATTTTATTCAAATATATGTTTGTTTCACAGGGGAGAAGATGAGTTTTAAAACTAATTTACATTTTTATCCTTAAAATATTAAAACACTCATGCTAAATAATTTTTTTTTAAAAAGTATTCACTAAAACAAAATGTTAATTCATAAAAGACAGATAATTAAACACAAAATATTCAACATTTAAAATACTCTAAAATATCTTAAAATAAAAATAAAATATTGTTAAAATATGATCAATGATTATGAACCATTTTCTCATCTTGATAATCCTTTTAATCATATAACATATTTATAAAATTAAATTATACATAATATATAACTCATACTACAATTATATATTGATATGTAATATAATACAACAAATTATAAAATAATTAAGTTATTACAAATAAATTATTAAATAAAAATGAATAGAATAAAACACATGAAAAAAAATTGAATCATGATAATAAAAATAATGGAGTTACCATTAAACAAATTGAGGAATTATAATAAGGTGATAAAAATTAAGATATAATATTAATAAAAATAATTAAAAATTTTATTAAACAAAAGTGAAGATAATTTTGTCATTATAATAAAAATAGATGTTATCATAACTAAGGGTGTGCAAAATAATCAATAACCATAAACTAAATTTCTATCCAAATTAATCCAAATTTTAAAATACAGTCCAAATTTATATTGTAATTTTGGTGGCCCATTTATCAAATTAAAAAAAAAACGGTAACCATTTGTTTCAAACCAGATTGAGATTCGGTAACCATTTTTCAATAAGTTTCAAAAATAAAAGTAGAATAGTTTGGGAAAATCAAGATCAACACCCCTAGTTTGCAATAAAATTGATTTGGTTTAAAGTAGAATAAGTTTAAGGTAGATAGTTTGCAATAAGTTTAAAGTAGAATAAGTTTCACGATTAATTGGTTTATATCAATTCAACGTACTTCTCGATTAATTGATTTAATTCACGATGAAAAGGAATTATTCTAATTCCAGTTTTACATTGAGTAGTTTAAAGTTTAAGATATATGGGTTCAATGTAAAACTGGAATAAAATTGATTAATTGATTTATATCAATTATTTGATAGTTTGCAATAAGTTTAAAGTAAAATAAGTTTCAGGTGGTTTATCAATTATTTGATAGTTTGCAATAAAATTGATTTTTTTAAAATTGATTTTAAAACTGATTTCTTTAAAGAAAATAAAAAATTAGTTTTGAGAGAAAACGGTTTAAAACTGGTTTTTAAAAAAACTGTTTTTTTTAAAAACCGGTTTAAAACCGAACCAATCTACTTGTAAATCGATTTTAAAAAAATTAACCAATTTTATATAAATGATTTTAAGATTCAAACCAAATCATATATGTGGTTTGGTTTGGTTTATAATCCATTTGTAACTCCCCGTTCGCAAATCCTCAATTTGAGAAGAACTAAAAAAATTTCAGAAGAAATTTTGATTAACTCTAATTTTCATCTCTTCACTCATAAAAAAAATTGAACAAACACACCTATTTTAAAAAATTCTCATCCCTCCCCACCCCTCTGAAACTCCCACCAAATGGACCCTTAGAGAAAACAAACCCTCAACGCATATAAATACTGACGGTAAATTTCAAAGTGGGTCCCATGGTAAACATTAAATTCCAATCAATGGCTGGCAACGCCAACCCCCGCCATCACTTCAGCTCACTCTCACATTTTCTCAATGCCGTGGCCGGCAAAGAACGCCGGCCTAGGCGTTGCCGCAATGTCCTACATAGCCGTTGACTACCTCCGCCACCTGTCCCCGAAGTGGCACTCCCGTCTGCAACCGGCGTTATGGTCTATCCTCGCCCTCGCCGCCGTCGCTCGAGTCCCCTCTTACCGGCACTGGTCCGTCGAGTTCCGCTCAGCTATTCCCTTCGTTGCTTCAATGCTCTTCATGCTCGTTGCTCTCCTTTACGAAGCCATCTCCGTTCGATCTGTCACCGCCGTCCTCGGCCTCGACTGGCACCTGTAACTACCGTTCATTCTGTTACGCGAATCACCATTTTTTTCTTTCTTTTTTAAAACAATTTTCATGAACTAGATCTAATCTAACCTATTCTTTTTAGCAACGATTCTTTGAGCTAGATTCATTTATAATTTTGAATTTAATGTTTGCTATAGAATCACAGAATGAAATCAAAACATTTATTATTAAGATTTGAGTTTATTAATATGATTATAGTTAGCAATTAATATCAATTAGTATTTCAGTGTATTTAGATCTACATAATCACTCATTTAATATTTTGCATCCAAAGATTTTCCAAACTCAGATCTACGTAACTATGTTAGTTTTGATGGTAACTTCTAGTGTGTGGTTGAGCAATTTTAGTAATTTAAGAAAGTAAGAGTGATTCAGTCTAAACCACATGTGTCAGTGCCGGTGCTAAATAGCTTCGATCTGAAATATGTTTCTATAACTGGAACTGTTTTGTTTGATTTATTTGATTGACATAAACATAACTTCAACTGGCTGCATTTCTATATTTGTAAAAGAAAAGGAAACTTATATACTTAATTTGTTCTGATAGGAATACAGCTCCTCTTCCAGACACTGGTCAGTGGTTTCTCTTGGCAATGAATGAGAAACTTCCTGCTCCAATTGTTGCGATATTAAGAGCTCGTATTATTGGATTGCATCATTTCTTGATGTTGTTTATGATGCTGGCATTCTCTGTGCTATTTGGCTCGGTAAAAGCTCCTGGCCTTGGACTAGGTGCAAGATATATGTTTACCATGGCAATTGGACGCCTTCTTCGTGCCATAACTTTTGCATCTACAATTCTTCCGTCAGCTCGACCTTGGTGTGGTAGTTCTCGGTTCAGAGTTCCTGGATATCCACATCGATGGGCTCAGAAATATTATACGCCATATGCTTCTGATCATAATGCTATCAGCCAGTTGTTAAGGCTTGATCAAGCCTATGGTATGCAGACTGTTACTTCACTGGATTGTAGACTTTGCTTTTATATCGTGGCTCATATTAGTAACAAATTCACCGGACTTGTAATGTTCACTAAAGATCCTTTTCAATTTTTTTGGGATCTCTGGAAAAGAGTAATTTTGAATTCAAACTGAGAATATTAACTTTGACTCTGTAAATATTTGTAGGCCACTTTTGGTTTCTTGATGGATTTTATTTAGAAATTTGAACATGACATTCTATATGACCATATGACTTTTAGTTTGTGTTATTTATGTATCTTCTTGAATTTCAATGTTCAAAATTATAAAAGCTGGATAATAGAAATGTCTATAATATATGCTTACTTTTCTCTACATCTATATGAACCTTTCCACCTTTGTTGATGTTTTGCTTCTGTGAGAAAGTCCTGAAAATTAACATGCTCTTGTTTCATAGTTGACATTGGAAAACCAGTTGGCGACTACCGGCCAGAATGGGGTTTCATGAGCTTTCTGATTGATTTTCTGCGACCAACTGCTTCAGAAGGACCTTCATGGTTCAGTCTGTTGAAGAAAGCTGGAGGTGGCTGCAATGACCTCCTATACAGTGGCCACATGCTTGTTGCTGTACTTACAGCTATGGCTTGGACAGTAAGATTTGAAGTGCATTGCAACTTTTCAAGAATGCATTGTCTCATAATCTTGAGGTTATTTGCATTTGATTTAAAGTTGCAGCATAATTTGTGACTTCTATTTGTTAAAAATGGTTGCAGGAAGCGTATGGAGGTTTCAGTTCAGCTCTTGTATGGCTTCTTGTAGTTCACAGTGCCCAAAGAGAAGTTCGAGAGCGCCATCACTACTCTGTAGACTGCATTGTAGCCATATATGTGGGGATCCTTCTGTGGAAAATGACAGGTTTTATCTGGTCACATGAAGTTAGATCTGGAAATAAGAATCTGGTTAAGTTTGAGAAGATTAAAAGTAGACTCATCCAAGCTTCGAAGGACTCAGACATTGATCAAGTAAGAGAACTACTCAAAGAGATTGACTTAAGCAATGAAGATAACAAGAAGCAGACTGCATTTAAGTATGCACGGCTATTTAGTGGTGCCACTATTGCCTTTGCACTCACCATCGTTGTTCTGGCTTTCACGCTAACAACTGATGGATAATCATCTCGCAGACCTGAAATTTTATCGTACCATGCGGTTTCGAATTTTTTGTGCGTAATTTTTGTGTATTCTAGTGTTTCTGGTAGTAGTTTTTGAGTCATTTAACTGCGAGGCAAAACATAAATGTCCCACGTGGGGATTTCTAGTGTTTAGTTATATGACCTGTTGTTTCATTTTGTATCACTAGACATGTAAGTGCTGTTGTATCATTGGATTTGTACCCAAAAAAATTGAAAACGTGCCATTGTTGGAAAATAGAAATTGCAATATTATGTGTATTTGCCCTTCCGCATAAGGCCCTATTTATTATTATCTCTCTTCTTTTATATAACTGACAAATCTTTTTTTAGGTTTATTTAATAATCAATGTATTTGGTCAGTTTATAAACTAGATATATTAATTATTCAATGAATTTAAAAAGTGATTTGTCTCTAATAAAAAAGAACGGAGGTAGTATCTTTTTAATGAAAGAAATTTAGGTGAGTTAGATTTTCTAGCTGGCACAGTTAATTTGTCTTTAACTTTGTGTGTTTGTGAGTAAAAACATACTACACTTGATGACAAGGAAATCAAGGGGTTTTTGCAATCCAAATGAAAAATTATGAACTGGTTAAATGTGTTTTCTTTTTAGTTAATACTACCATGAAATATGTCGTTGAGATTGAGTAGAGACCAGTTCCCAATCTTGGAAATTGGATTCTCTCCCTTCAAAGAAAACACACATTCACACACCTTCAAGATTTGATGGTTCACAAAATACATATTTTAATTTTTGATTTATAATTTAAAATATAAACTTAAACTGTTCAATTCTAATAAAACAATCATTGTTATGATACTGCATGAATGTTACAAAACTGCACGAAAGAGTGTTAATCTTTGATATCAGTCAGTGAATTTTGTTTTTGTTTGATTACTTTGAATATTAATTTCAAATATATTTCTCATTCAATATTCGCTTCATTGAATAAATGATTATTCTTTGTATGTAATTTTGAAGACTATTTTCTCAACTAGCAATTATATTTTGAACTTGATTTTTCAAATAAGGATCATTTAAAAGAAAAAAAAAAGAGTAATTTTAAATATTATTTTAAACATGTTTTTAAACAAATCTCATTATATAAATACTTTTAGTATTTTCCATATTTTTATTACTCCTTCCATTTCAAAATGACTATCATTTTAATAAATAAAATTTATTTTAAAATAATTATTATTCTTATTTTTTAATGTAAAAATAATAACAATTTTTTCAATTATACTATTTAATTATTACTTTTACACTATTTATAAAGTATTAATAATGCTAATTTAATAAAAGTATTTATTAAACTGCATGAGTGAGTGTTGATCTTAGACATCAGTATGTGAATTTTGTTTGATTACTTTTGAATATTAATTTCGAGTATATCTTTCAATCAAAATTCGCTCCATGTGAGATTATTCATTGTATGAAATTTTGAAGACTATTTTCTCAACTAGCAAGTATATTTTGAATTTAATTTTTCAAATAAGGATCATTCAAAAGAAAAAAGAGTAATTTTAAATATCATTTTAAACATGTTTCAAATCTCACTCTATAAATATTTTTGATAATATTTAAGAACTACCCCATCCGTTCTACTATAGATGTCTTTTTTGAGATTTTCATTTTTTTAAAGATAATGATTAATTGTATTGATTTTAATAATAAAATAAATATTATTTATTAAAATAACCTTATTAATAATAGATAGTGAAATAGTTGCATGATTTAAAATATAATATATAAGGATAAGTTAATGGGAAAAATAATAAATATCACATTGGTATTTTAAATGAACAAATAATTTGAGACAAATAAAAATAAGAAAGGACACCAATTGTGAGATGGAGGGAGTATTTAGAATGATTTACCGTGTAAAACAAATCACATTAATTTATTAAACGATTGAATGTTTGTGCAGGAAATTACTGATGGAAAATTAAGATACAGTAATAGACCAATACGCAGTAAATATAAAATTTCTCAGACTTGTAGGAACCTTGAGGGTCAACAAGAAATATAAGACGACAAATCGAACAAATAAATGTATAAAAAATACTGATATTTTTAACGTGGAAAGCCCCTTAATATGAAAGTAAAAACCACGATTCGTCCAGACCAAAGAAATAACTCCACTATAATCAACTAAGGGTACAAGCGAGTCTTAAAGTGATTCACAAATTAGCACTAACAACCACAAATCACAAAGCAAATTAGCTTACAAATAAGAATAAAAAAGTTAGAAAACTTCTCAAATCTGCAACTTCAGTGTGAAGCAGATAACTCTCACCTTAGAGGTTGTTTTGAAATTCTGAATGGTTAAAAATTAGATACATGTGTTACAAACTTGTCTTCCAAATTTGAGCTCGATCTGACGGTTAATCGGGGATCGTCAATTTAGTGAGATTGGTTACAGAAAAAATGGAAATAAGTTGCTCTCCTTTTTTCTCTCTTTTGAATCCTTTTTTTTCTCTATCTCTTTCAACCCTAAATTGATCCTCTCCACTTAAATAAGTGAGACAAATTGGCTAATCATATTTGGGTCTTTCTCCACATAATAAGGGAACCCGAACCCAACAAATCTCCCCCTCACAACTATGTGGAGGAAATCGCCAAACCGGAGATATCACAACAAGCTTCAAACTTCCCTCTTGGTAATGCTTTATTCATCATATCAGAACCATAATCATTTGTATGAACTAGAACTAACTCCAAAAAAATTAGCATCCAAAACATCATGTATCCAATAATATCTCACATCAATGTGTTTGGACCTATTATGAAAAGTCGGATTCTTACCAACATGAATAATGTTTTGACTACCAACAAATAACACATATTTGTCTTGAACAAAACCAAGCTCCTCCAAAATTTTCATCAATCATAGTAAATTTTTGCATGCTTCGGTAATTGCAATGAACTCAGCCTCTGTAGTAGACCACTACACACTTTTGCAATTAGGACTGCCAAGCCACAGCTCCCCTTGAAAATTTAATCATGTAGCTCGAAGTGGACTTTCTGGAATCAATGTCTCCAGCCATATCAGAGTCAGAGTACTCTATTAGAGTAGTCTTATCTCCTCCAAAACAAAGTCTCGCGGAAGTAGTACCGCAGAGATACCTTAAAATCCATTTTAAACATTCCAATGCTCTTTACCTAGATTTGACAAAAATCTACTGACTGTACCAACAACATGTGTCATATTTGGTCTTGTACACACCATTGTATACATCAAATTATCCATATTAGACGCATAAGGAACACATTTCATATCAAATGCTTCATCTTCACTTAAAGGACTTTGATCAAAACTAAACTTGAAATGAGTAACGAGAGTAGTGCTTACCGCCTTAAAACTTTCCATTTTGAACCTCTGCAACACTCTTTCGATATAATGTTCTTGTGACATCCAAAATTTCTTCTCTTTTTTGTCACGCATGATTCTAATGCCAAGAATCCATTTAGCTTCTCCTATGTCTTTCATGGAAAATGACTCTCTCAATTGCTTCTTTAACCTGTTATTGTTAGAAATGTTTTTCCCTATAATAAGCATATCATCAACATATAACAAGAGGATAATAAAGTCATCGTTAGTAAACTTTCTAACAAAAATGCAATGATTTGAAGTTTATGGTATCCTTGATCACACATAACAACTCAAAAATTTTGTACCACTGCCTTGGAGCTTGCTTCAACCCATATAAACTCTTTTTCAATCTACACACATGATCTTATTTACCTTTAACTTGAAAACCATCAGGTTGTTTCATGTAGATCTCTTCCTCCAAATCACCATAAAGGAAATCTATTTTCACATCCATTTTCTCAACCTCTAAATCAAGTGTAGCAGTCAAACTCAACACGATTCTAATTGATGACATCTTTACAATAGGTTAGATATGGCTGTGAAAATGAAGTTAAATCGGAGAAGCCTTTCGACTTCTTCTTTGATCTTCGATAGGACTGTCGGTGCAAACCGTCTTGAGTTCTGCTTGATAGGCTTCTTTCCAGGCTTTATTGGCAACTTTAATTCGACCAAATCCCTTCTTAAACCAAGCATCTCGTCGTAATCCCACACTAAATAGTATTTAAACTCCTTCAGTAGTTAGATTACTTCAACCTTGAGTTGTGCGCTGATGTTGGCACTTATATATGTTGGCCTCTTTGTTGCCCCCTCTCCCAGGTCGATTTCTTGAAGTGGATCCTGTGTCAGCATCTTAATGTTAGATGCCAACAGATCCTTTTTGAAACCCAAAGGCTCATCATTATAAATTACATCAAGCCTTTGTTGTTCTTCTAGAACCTTATTAGGAGGCTCTAGATCGAAGTCCTTACTAGGACCTTCTTGGTGTAAATTTTGATTGGCTTCTACAGCCATGCTTTCCATTTCAGCCTCTAGGGCCGTTTGTAACTTACTTTTGGCTATGTAAGCCGAAATCCTTTTTAGTACTTCAAATTCAGTCATCATCACCGAATTTGTTTCCCCAACCTGTTAGGGTTATCCCAGATACATCAAGATATGGCAGGCTGTCATCTCCTACCACTTCCTTGTCCCATCGAAAGCCCTATACAGGATGCAGATACAACAAACAGTAAACCTCGTCGTCTGGGGTGAAAGCAAAATTGGCCTGATTGCAAGGAGTAACATTGGCCAAGTGTTTGTCGAAACTACGCCTGTCGACATGGTTGATTGAGCTTTGAAATAGTCTTGATCGGATTTGATATTTTTGATGATACCATCTGGTCTCCATATCGTGATTATCTGGTGCATGGAAGATGGCACAACCCCGACTCCATGTATCCATTCTCGACCTAGCAGTAAGTTATAGTTGGCCTTCGTCTCGACGACCATAAATACAGCATGCCTTGTAACAGTCCCCACCATCAAATCAACTTGTATCACACCCAGAGTGGTGCCCATTTTTCCTTCATAATTGTATAGTACCATATTATGAGGTTTGGTGTTCGTGT